CTGCTTGCGGGAGTGGGCGCAACAGGTATCGACTGATTGGCATCACGGTCTCGCGCGCCCGAGCTACAATCTATTCCCGACAGCCGGGACGGACTTCGAAGTCCGCACTTCTCCGCGCGAGCCGGCAATCACGCTCCCCACCCTTATCCCCTTTCAACGCCCCCAATGAACCATTGTGAGGAAACCCGGGGAGGGGTCGCCTACTGTTCGCTAAAGCCAAGGGCAACGGCGTCTGTCACTCGTCGCGCCTGCTTCAGAGGTCCTCAGCGTCCAACAGGGAAAAGGGGATGGTTTCAGGCGCTGTGCCCTGCTTTAAATCACCAATTGGTAGATCACAAAGTTCACTCTGCAGTAGCTTTTAGAGTCAACTAATAAATCAATGGACCCATACTCCAGCGAGCTTTAGCAAACAGCGAGTAATACTGCAGATTCACACAACTGAGACTGTCTCTTATACACATCTAGATGTGTATAAGAGACAGCTTCAGAGGTCCTCAGCGTCCAACAGGGAAAAGGGGATGGTTTCAGGCGCTGTGCCCTGCTTTAAATCACCAATTGGTAGATCACAAAGTTCACTCTGCAGTAGCTTTTAGAGTCAACTAATAAATCAATGGACCCATACTCCAGCGAGCTTTAGCAAACAGCGAGTAATACTGCAGATTCACACAACTGAGAGCTTCAACAGTGGACTTAGTAAAGTAGCCAGTTCGGATAGCAACCGTCTCGTGGTCAAATGATGGAACGACAAGTTCACAGCAATCAGTTTCGTCTATCAATTTGAGAAACCAATGGATTGCATGGTAATGTAACAAACGCACAAAGTGGCGAGCTTTAACCTGAGTAGTCTGTTGGAGAGTCCAATGAGTTGCAGTGCAATGAGTCCAGTTTACCCATCGACAACTTTATCTCAAACGCTCGACCGTTATCCCCCTTCAGTTTATACAGCGGTGAGGTTTAATAATTCCACCCAGGCGCTTAGGTCACTACTCTTCTTTGAATGCCTGTATGAATCCCCACCCAAAACAAAGAAAAACAGTGAATATTGGTTCACACTATGAGAGGCTGATCCGCCAGTATCTATTCTTGTTCTACTTTTATAAGATAACTGCCAGTTGAGACAATGGAAAAAAAAGTGATTGTTCTTATAACAGTTAGAAATTGCCAGATCTCCCAACAGGCGGAGGGCAAAAGAACTGTCAAAGACAGAAACCGTACGCCCAGCCGAAGGGCCAGACTTCAGTTAGCCAGCCAATATACAAGAACTGCTCGCTCACCCCCAGGTTCACACACTTTGTCCCGTTTCAAACTTTTACAGCCCTCTCCTCTTCTGCATGAGTATTGTTTTTGGCTTGCAGCATAACTCGAAACGTGCAGTTTCCCCCACGCGCGGAGCGGCACCCAGATGCCTTCTCTTCTGTCAGTATTCCCTTTCCTCTCTCTCTCTCTGACCTTTACACAAAGAGTCACTTGCTCGTTCACTCGCTTCCTTTCACACGGCCATGGACGCGTGTTCTCCGCCCCTCTTACAATTTTCAAGGAGACAACAAAGATATACGAACAAACAAAACAATATCCAAATTAAGTTCGATGGAGTGAGTACTTCCGAATTTCACTACCCAATGCTACACCCAGTGAATAACATTATGATCTGCAGCCTTTTAGACGATGAACAATACCCTTGAAGCCGGGAGGGGAAGGTGAAATACGATGGAAACTTTTCACCAGTTTCGCCCGATGATGAAGCCTTGAGATCGAACACCTGATCTTCTTCGGGATAACTCTAGATTAGAAGGTTCGATGTTGTCTCACCACCAGATCACAGCAGATCCATATTCGGAACAGATTTCACATACCATCAACTCCCTTTTAGACGGGCACTTACCTGATCATCAGCGGACTCAAAACCCATAATTGGATCTTCAACCGAATGTTGCCGTGATACGTGCTTGCGTTGGCCGTTAACTCACTCGTATGGCTTTTGATCCCACTTGCGAGTCATCACCAGAAAGTAGTTGTTCACCTTATCATCATTGCCTATATACTTCTTTTCGGTCAGTGTTGGCTGACCTTCCTATCAGCAACCGTGGCTCTCAATCTCCCGTAACAGCAGTCGGGCGGCTATGGGCTATCTCACAGGCAATGGCTGCAGCGCCCAATCTTCCGGGGCAATATTGTTTCCCACTCAGTCTCATGCAGTAATAGCCTTTCACTGTTAGTAGCAGCGCACACACCCTCTCGCTAACTGCAGCACTCTCTCTCTCTCTCTCTCTCTCTCTCTCTCTCTCTCTCTCTCTCTCTCTCTCTCTCTCTCTCTCTCTCTCTCTCTCTCGCGCGCGCGCGCGCGCGTGCGCGCGCGCACGCTCTGTCCGTTCGCCGCCTTTCCCTCAAACGGTCTTACGTACACTGTCCCGCTCACCTATGCCCGTGTCTGAATGCGCCCTCCACGTCCGAGCTACCACGGCAGAGCCCCCAACCGGGCTGCTCGTATCCTCCGCGTGGTGCTGGCCGATCCCGTCATCATTAGAGTGGTACGCTTTGCGAGCATTGGTAATGGCTGTTCACTCCGCACCCAGTGCTGTCTCGTCCATCATCAGCGAAGAGGCTAGCTTCTCAACCGACGTTAATGGCTGTTCGCCTCACCCGCAGCGTGCTGCTGGTTCTCTGGTCCAAGAGGGGCGCGGAGTATGGTGAGCACCCTCAGAGCGCGGGTGAGCGCCCCTAGGTTGTTCCCTGACTGACACGAACGAGGGCATGGATCCCCCGCCCGCCTCGTTCGATCATGCTCCTCCTGTAACTACCTCGTGCCGAATTCCTCCCGGCTCACTGCAGCTCGAGTCAGCGGAGCGCTGGGTACACCTGGCATGCGATCCCGATGCATCGACCCCCGAAGTTCTCCCCCCTAGTCCACCGTGCACACTTTCGATTCCTCCTGTTCTCTCCCCTCACTCGCGGTGTAACCGTCTGAGCGCCGATGTCTCCTCCCTGAGCTTGCTCGCGCGGGTACACCTTGCTCGCTTCGAGTGTTCTCCCCTCCCTTGTGTTTCCGACGTGCCCAAATCTGCTGCGCGGCCGCCCTTGCTGACTTCAACCGCCCGGCCGCTGTGCTCAGGGTGCCCACGGACCCTTAACCCGCCTGCATCTCGCCCCGATCCGGACCCGGTACTTCGGCTCTTCACCCCTTTCGATTAGATGAATTTAGATCGGGGCACAACGGCGAAAATGACTGGCTCGCACGAATCTGAGATGGGCTACAAATAAGCGGCAAGGGGCAATTAGGACCTCCAGGAGGTCGGGGTTCATTAGCAATTCTTTGGTTACTAGGGTCCGTTAGGGGTCGTTGGGGAAGGCGCTATTAGGACCTCCATGCGGTCGGGGTTTATTAGGAGTTGTTTCGTTTGCAGGGGTATCGAAAACATATTTTTTCTCGAAGGCTCAGGGGTGGTGAAACCGTGGTACAGACTGGCGTTTGAAACAAGTGGCTGCCAATGGAGGGTTGGAGTCCCCCGGACGGATCTTCTGATTTTGATTCCTTTGATTTTTCTGATTTTTTGGTTTTGGTCATTTTATTGTCTCAACTTTGTTTGGTTGAAAGTACGGCCC